TGTAACGATACCAAAAACTCACGGTACGATAATATCGCGATAAAAAGTCCACGGTACGATATTTATCGCGATATTGAAAAATAAAGGAAAAAAATTTGAATTTTTTTTTTCTTTTTTTTCTTTCATTAAATAATACATCGGATTTGTACAACATTTTAGTAGGATAGTAGTATCTTAAAGTGTCAACAATATAATAATCAGACCCTGCAATGGAATAAATCAAGTTTCACTTTAGTTTTTCAAGTAACTCAACTCTAACTCACTCGGCATCATCAAGGTTATCTTTTAGGAATATGAGCATGTCCACATTTCCAGGTAGAAGCTGGGATGTTTGGGCGTTTACAATATCCCCTGCTGTGGAAAAAACTCTCTTGCTTGGTACTGATGTTGCTGGGACAGAGAGATATGCTTTGGCAATGGGTGACAGCAGTGGGTAAAACTGTGCATTGTCTCACCACTTCAAAAACAATACAGTTGTTGCCAAGAAGGTGAGGCTTATTGACAGGGCGAGATATAAATATACTGTTGGTACTTGTCAATGTCTCTAGGTATGTACATGTAGCCCTGTAAATACCATGTCCTTTGGTGTTATCTGTTGTTTTTATGTTCATGTTGTAACCTACTTGCTGCCATGTTGGAGAGGTCTCCCTTGAAAAATAGATTGATGATCTCAATGGGACCATCTGGTTGAATAAAGGTTTAAAAAAAAAATCACCGTAAATTGTGTCAGTCTCATGACGGTATGAGACATCTATTTAGCGCGATATCCGATATATCGTTACATCCCTATTTCTCAGTGTAACAATCATTTTCCAGACCATGCCTGTCTCCACCTGAGTTTTCCTCACCTGTGTGGCGTCGGTTCCCTGCTCCAGTGACTCTGAGGAAGGAGCTTTGCTGACTGTGGAGGACGCCTGAATACAGAACAACGTTTAAATCATATTCTACTTTAAGTTTTCACATTCACCGTTTCATGTTGACATGTTTTACCTGGGAGGTAGACTTGAACGGGTTGACCTTGTGCATGACCCCTCTCAGCCCACCAGGGTTCTGAAACACAGGGTTTCACATGTTTAATAAACTGATTCACTCAAAATATGATACCTTGCGGCTGTATTAAAGGAATGTACAGATAGGACTTGAATACAGGATGTTAATCACCTACTGTGATTTAAAAAACATCCGTATTGATTGAGGCCTTATTGGAGCCAATGTTAGCTAAACTTATACACAAATGAATGGTTCTCATGTTTTTAAACAACAGGGGCAGCAAAAGTTTAGTTTCTTCAAACATTGAAAAAACACATTGTGGTACACAGGCTATTTTTTTCAATTATCTACTAAGTTTATGCGTTAATTGATCAATTCTAAAAAGGTGACAGTTTGAACTAGAAAGCCATCCAGAGAGCGCAAACCACCTCTAAGGCTGTTTCCATCAGTGAAGTATTCACCTTGTGCTTGCATGACAGTGTGAGAGGAAAAACCAAATTACAAATAAACAAAATCTGGTTTTAATATAAAAGGTAAGTTTTCCTCACCTGTGTGGAGTCTGTTCCCTGCTCCAGTGACTCTGAGGAAGGAGCTTTGCTGACTGTGGAAGGGAGCTAAATAAAGAACACACATTTAAAATCATATACATTTACATGAATTAGTCAAAGTCATGAAAGGTAAATGCTGTCAACCTGGGAGGTAGACTTGAACGGGTTGACCTTCTGCATAACTCCCATCATTCCTGTCCTCTGTTTACACAAAAACACACGTAAATTATGACAAATAAACCACCAAAAACCGGTGAGGTCAAGTGTGACTAACTGATAAAGAAGATATTTCACATGTGACTCACCTTGGTCTTTTGGTTAAGCTCACTTGTGACATCACTGTTGGCACCCGTCCCTTCATCCTGTGTGTTCAGGCTGTGCTCCACAGGATTATCTAGATCCTGGTGGCAAAGAAACGCCTTAATTAAGGAAACAAACAAATGTAAACAAACAATATCCTATTATAGCCTCCACCTCTCTCCATTCTGTACCTCCTGGCTGGGTCGAGGTGGAACCACTGGAGCTGCTGTGCCTTTATCTCTCCTGAACATATTCATGCTGAAATACAGACAGTTTTAAACATTAGGACTGCATGCGACAAAATAATCAGAGATCATTTATTCGTCCCATATTGGGAGAATGTACGTTGTAACAGCAAAAGTGAAGAAAGAGACACAAAATACAACACTAACAGTGGTGTAAAGTAAGGAAGTACATTTACTCAAGTACTGTAACATTTTCAGGGACGTGCACTTGACTTTTTCAATGTTTTGCTACTTTGTACCTCTACTTCACTACAATTATTTAATACCTTTAGTTACTTTACAGATTTGGATTATTGATAATGCCAATACTTCTCTACTTTTACTTTAGAAACATTTTGATTGTAGGACTTTCCCTTTTAACAGAGTATTCCTACTCTCTGATACTTCTACTTTTATAGAATCTGGTATAGGATCTATTTTTTCCACCTCTGAACACTATAAGATAAAGGGCCTGCACATAATATAAAAATAACAATTAAAAGTTATTCCCATTAACTTAAAAGGCAGCCAGTATGCTAATACTTCTAACCAGGTACATATTGCAAAAACACGGAAACATAAAACATGGCACCAACTTAAAACAATCTGAAAAAAACACTTATGCAATGATATATTTTGTATATATCTTAAGCACAAAAGTACTATTGTGCTAAGAAAACCGAAACAGCATGACCAGAACATGTGACTCAAAGCTTCACAGGTGGGTGTAGTTTCAGTACCCTTCTCTCTGGATACACCCACATGCCAAACTACATTCAAATAATTGACAATTTTAAAGAATACTTTGTGTAAAACATAATTTGCTTTATTTGTTAGATAGGAAATTAATGCTTGTGAAGTCTTAGGCTTTACTGACAACATCGGTTTAGTCATATTTGTCATTCAGGACTTTTTTGTGTGTAGTTTGTGTACTTCATTCAGGTGATACCGATACGTTTTAAAGCCGGAATGAAATCTTAGCAAGCAGTTTCGAAAACTTTAAACGTTGTGAATGTATGTGTTTGTTTAGAATAAATACGCCGAATTAAAACACGTGTCAAATTGAGTGTTAATAAGTCTTAAAATCGTTTCTACAACATGTAAGCTGGTAAAAAAAAGAGTATAAAACTTTTAAATTGACAGAACTTTGAACGCAGTTTGGCTTGTTGCTCCAAACATTATCGTACAGGAATGTTTGACAACACAAAAGCCAGCAACAACACAATGAAAAGAGGAATTGTGCCTACCTCAGGCTTGAGACTGAAAGAAAACAAAGTGACAATAAAAACGCTGCGTTTCACAACAACAACAACAACAGAGAGGTAAAGGAGTTTTAAAAGTTGAAGGTAACGCAGTCCTTCACTTCCCCTTCATGGAAAGCCGTCTAACCGGTTAGTGTAATACTGAACCTAATATTCCTGCTCTCATTTCAGCAATTTTTTTTTCTTTTAATTTGAGAGGTGAACAAAAGCTGAATACAGTGCGACAATAGGTGATAATCCACACCCTGAAAGTTGTGGGTCGTTAGAGAAAAGATGTCCTTATTCAGATCAGCTGATACCTGAAGGGGGCGTGGTCTCCTGTTGAAGCCTAAAGGAAACACCTCAGGTTTAAAAACGAGAAAATTCAGGCTGAAAATCTATTTAATAAATACAAATGTAAGGGTTTAAAGTAAAACATCTGTTATATAACTTGAGTGGTATTTACTTTGAAATATGTTGTATTTAGTCATTATTTGAAAATAACTGAATCAGTAAATATTCACCTATTTTTACCACAGTTCTACAAAAGAGTCTCAACACAATTCCTCAATGTATTTAAATCTCTAAATAGTGGAATTAGAGTGTTTACCATGACATTAACACCATTGAAATCAATTTAAAGTATGAAGTAAATAGTCTTTATTCAAATATTCTGTTACACTGACCAATCTTAATATATATTAATACATTAAACGACAAATAAATGCATTAGTATAACCCAGTTAAATGTATTTGACGATAAAAACATAAAGTAATGGACACATTTCTATAATCACAACCTATTAACATGTCAAAAGTCTGCTTTAAGTTTGACAATTTGATAGAATATTATAAAGGTTATCAAGGTAGGAATATTATAACCGTATCTACCTGTAAACACAAAGACATTTACATGGATGCCACATGGCAAGGCCAAAAGAAGAGGAGAAATAAACATTCATTACTCAGATGTGTAGTTATTTAATCATTGTCTTAGCACAGTTACATATTAAAAATAAATTACCCTATACAGTATACAACATTCGTTTTTATTGTGAATATGTAAACAATATATCGTATTCAACAAAGAGTACTGTAATGCTGTAGGTAAACACTACTACTACACTACTTTAACTCAACCAACCTATCATGTATTATTTTTACAACAATTTATAATGTTAAAAACTCCATAAGGCGATGCAAGGGTCCTTTTTTGCCTGTGTTGTTTCATTGTAGATTCTCAACTAAAAACATTTATATCATACCGATATCTGACATTGGGGTTTGTAGAACTGATAGGAAATGCAGGAAATAAAATACAATTTAACACATGGTTGAAACTGTGTCAGAAAAGTGAAATAAAGCTCCTTCAGTAAATACAGTGGGTGGATAATTTTAAGCAAAAATCATTTCAAATATTTAAACTAAAAACACCTGTGACCACAAAGCTACTTTTAACGGTTTACCCTCAGAACATGCATACAGTGCTCAAAAAAGTGCCCGTTTCCCTGTTAACCTTTTTATGTGCATACAATAAACATCTTACACTTTTTCACAAATACAAGAGCAATCTACAGCCTCAATGGATATTTAAAATACAAATAAAACAGCCTTACACTCCCTTTAAATGTCTGAAACTGCAGGTACTGGACAGATGGACTCCTTCACACCGACAGTTCCCTCATTTAGCCAGTAGAGGGGGTGGTGGTGCCTTTAGAAATACCTATATTCAAAGTGTCCTCCTCACATGTTTCCGGTAGCATCCTGCAGCTCCTCTCGGATGGAGTTGAGCTCCATTATGCCGACGTTGAGCACATTGGCCACCTCCTTTATCCGACACACCGCCTCCTTCTTGCAGCCTTTCTTCAGCTCTCGAGAGTCCTTGGCGAAGTACTTGTCCATGCCGGTGAAGAATCCTTGGACGGAAGCAACCAAGTTGTCCGTTGTCTCCGTCCCGTGCATCACGGGCGTGTCCACCAGGCTGATCATCTGCACCGCGCGGCGGATCTCCCAGTCCTTGGAGTAGTGTTGGGTGCCCGACCGGAGGAAAGGGTGCCCGCGGAGCTTGATGAGGCCCTGGTTGACAAAGTGGAGGATCTTCCCGATGGCCAGCAGGTGAGCTTCGTAGTCACCTAGCACTATCTCCACCTAGGGAAGGAAGAGGAGGGAGAGTCCATAGTTGTCGGTTTGATGTTAAAACAAGTCATTTCAAGCAGGAGTTTGGACCAACCAGTGCTTTTCTACATTTGTATCTTTGAAAGTGTACAAATTCATGACATCAACAGAGGTAAACACTAGGGCTGTACCCGAATATTCGTTCGTTGGAGTACTATTCGGGTTTCAATTTCGTTATTCGTTTTGTTTGTTTTTTTCCTGTTTCTTTTTCAAATTGAATTTATTGAAATCTCCAATATCAACGTAAGAGCTTGTGCCTCTTCAGGGGGTGCTAACACTTAGCCATAAAAGTTATCGTTTACTTTCTCCGTCTTTATATGTAGATGACTTTTCTCCGTTACGTTGTTTCCAAAGCAACAACAACTTCCTGTCAACTGCGCTAACTCTCCTTCAAAAATAAAAGCATGTCCATAAATAGGAAGCCAAGCCAAATTACACTTAAGACATATACAACTGCAACGAAAGTAACAAACACAATGCGATATCCTTTTCATTTTCAAAGAACACAAATTGGGTTACATTAACAAATAACTATAAAACAACAATACTGTAGAATAACAAAATGAATGCCGTGAATAAGCGGTTCACTGCGGTTCACTGCTGATTACCTACCTCCCCCCTCCCCCCCCCTTTTGCTTCTGTTGAGTTTGTGGTTTAAAATTGACGTATTTGTTGATGGAGTTTGGTGGCTTTGACGAGAAGATATTAATTAAATTAAGAATTAATTAAGAATTATTAATCAATTAAGAAGTAAAATGACTTAGTTTTGCAAAATAATGACTTAAACTTTCAAAATAACTTAACACTTAACTAAGTCATTATTTTGAGTATGTTAGTCCTTAAAATGACATCCATCAGGTCTTGATTCTTTATTCTGGCACCAATCGGCTTCCATACTTCTGAGACATTTCCTCCCTTTTCAGATTACGGCTTACCTTCTTGCGGTCGTGCAGGTTGTGAACGTTATCCGAGATTGCCGCTGAGGCTGAAGCGATTCCTCCGGCCGTCGCCACTCCCACACCAACAGCGGTTATCACCAGAGAGGCTCCGAAGGTAAAAGGTGCCAGAGCCAGACCAGCGATGGCCGTCACCCCCCCCACAGCCGTGGTGGTTCCTCCGGTGATGCCGGCGATCTTGGCTTTCTGGTGGAAAGTGTTGATGTCGTCGGCGATGGAGTGCAGCCTGAGGATGGACTGCCAGAGGAACTCGGCTCGCTCCGTGAAGATTTGGTTGAAGACACGCAGGCCGCGTTGAACCTTGTCCGCCAAGGTGGTGAACGACCTGGGGTTTATTCGGAAGCAGAAGCAAAGTTATGCTTGGTCGTGTCCGTAAGAAAGCAGCAAAACAAATGTAAACAAATTACATTTTCCGAAAGCCAAAGGTCTACTCTTGTTACAAATCCAAACTATATTTAGTTTAGCATCATATATGGCAAAGAAAACCTCACATTTGAGAAGTTAGAACCATCAAATGTTTGGCTTTTTTGCTGGAGAAGTCACTGAAACAAAGAATCAAGGACTTTTCCTCCCACAATCAGTTGTACAAGACGCTTGTTTATAATTTTACTAGACCAATACTTCAACATTAATATAAACTGACATACTTAGATTCATCCTCTTTTAAGACTTTGTCCTCGTCGTCTGATGGCACCTCGTCCCATTCTGAAAGGAAGCAACAGGTGTTATCTAAGTGCTTTTGTATTAATCAGGTTATTCAATCTGTTGCTCAAAATAAATGTCAATGTGACTCACGCTCCACTGTGTGCCACCACTCCATCAAACTGTCCGTGTCCTGTGACGGAAACAAAAAGCGTAAGTGTCACAACATCACAAAGGGAAATTCACACGCCATTGTTGACTTCTATCCTTGCTGTTCTTGAAAAACAGATTCCTTTCCATTCATTAATTTACTCTTTTAAAAAAGTTTCCTCGGTTTATTATTTAGTTTTTCAATTAAATAGTATTTTTAATATTTATTTGAACGCAGGTCACCACTCAGACCAAGTGAACTATACGGCGGCCATTTTCACAGTATTTAAATTAAAGGTTGAATGAAAGACTAAAAAAAGGGAAATGGTGGTGAAGTCGACGATTTCCATTTAATCTAATTAAATAGAAACTGACCCCGTCCTCGTAGTCGTCCTCCAGCTCTTCTAAAGCCTGCTCGTCAATCTGAGCTGCCAGCCACTCCGCCTGCATGAGGGTGGGGGGGGGTGACAAAAACAAGCCCGTAAATACGTCAATAAGTCTTTGATACATACTTTAAAGTGGACCTATCATGCTATATTTGAATAATATAGTGTAGGGCCATACCTATATAAGGCATATTTATACTTTTTATTTTTCAAAATACCAAACAGATCATGCATTTTAATGCAGTAATAAAAACCTGGCTTTATGCGAGACTCTTTAGGCTTTCCTACACTGGGGGGTGTGTTGGGGAGTGTGTGTGTAATGTGGCTGTACCGGCTCCGTCACATGTCAGAGGAATGTGTCCCATCAGGAATACACATGATAACATGAATAAGCTTACAGTGAAAAACAATTCTTTCTCATGTGCAGCTTGGGTAAACAATGCCAGTTGGTGACCTAGAGTTACTCTGACGATCAGGATTTAGCAAATAAGCTTGAGTGTGCAATAGTATTATTATTTTATTTCTACGGTGCATTTACTAGCTTTAAGAGTGTAATAATAATACATTTCATTTATATAGCACGCTTTAAAAACAACGTAATCAAGGTGCTTCACAATGCTATAAGGAGAAAATAATAAAATAGAAGTTATCTAAGGAGCATATTGAATACAATGTAGTGATATAAAAAAAAGGTTAAGAGCATAAAAGGTTAGAATAAAAAATAAGTAAAAGGACAGTCAATAAAATGTGGGGCGGAACAGTGTGTTAAAAAGAAGCTCAAATGTATCTGAAAAACTGCAACATACAGTATGTAGAGACATCAGTGCTGCACGGGACCATTTAATACATGAATCAGAAAAGTAAATCTGATTCATTATCCAATACAAAGTTTGTAGTTTCATCAGCCTAAACAGTGTGTTGCTACATCGCCAGTTACAGTTGCATGAAGGTAAAAGTGAAGATGTAGGGTAAATAAAAACAGAACACGAGGACATTGATCAGGACATCAGCATACCTGGTTTGAACTGGAGATGAGGAAGTTTATCTAAGTATGAAGACATACCATTTTGACACAAATCACTTGCCAAGTAAGCAACACATTTATGACTTCCTCTTAGAGAGCGCATACGTACCCTGGCAGCCTCCGACAGGAAGTCAGCTGACGTAGCTCCGGCTGGATCCTCATACTCTGGACGATTGGCTTTACTCTGGTATCAAGAAGGAAACACATAGTGAGCATGTCATACTTTCTAACTTTATTCCTAATGTGATTTTAGAAGAACTCGCCGATTCACCTTCGTCTTGTGTTTTTTGAAGCCTTTAAGTTTTGATTTCTTCTTCTGTTGAAAAGAAACAAGTGTTAAGAGGTTAAATAACTGCAGAGCAAAGCAGTAAAAGTGAACGTGAGGAATACCGGTTTGCAGGTTTCCACTTCTTCACCCTCCTCGCTGTAACGCGTCTCCCCGGGACTCATGAAATCTTTTCCTGTTTGGGTAAAGTCGCCCTCAGCGAAGGGATCCTGCAAAATAATGTTAGAAATGCAGTCAATACAACAGAAAATATATGAATGCAATCAAAATGTAAATCAAACATACGCTGGCTGCTTGCTGAGGGTTCTGCTGGCTGAATCCAGTCGCCTCTCTCTGACCTTTGGCTGATTTGCGCGGGACGGGAAAAGGGCCTTTCTTTTTGGAGAGTTTCTTAAAGAAGGAACACAATATTTATTGTTAATAAAAGCTTAAAGGGATTAAGTCTGGACCATTATTACGGTGACTTGGTAGCTACAGTATGTACATGGCATCATCTTGTACATATCTCTGCTTCAGTTTCTCTTTGAATAAAACCACATTGTACATTTTAAATTGATATAATCTGTTCAATATTTAATACTACATCTGTCATATATTTATGTATAATACCTTGTTAAATTCAACATGTATATTTTCTACTTTCTTGTTTATTTCTTGTCTTGAATTCGTATTGTACAATGCCATGTGCGCAACGCTAACATGTCCCAAATTGGGATCAATAAAGTACTATCTTATGTTATCTTATATTTAAAGCATTTAAAAATGTACCGGTTTGCAGTACTCCATCCACTCATCGTCGTCTAACTCGTCCGCTGAGCAGCTGCCCTTCTTTTTCTGAGCATTGTTGAAATCCAGCATGTTCTCCTATTTAAATAAAAGCATTAAAAAATGAGGTAAAAACGATTTTCTTCATCTCTTATTGCTTTTAAACCAAAAAAGATTACCTTCGAGCTTCGACGACCCGTTTGTAGCATCTTCATCTTCGTTGGTTTCTTCTATTGATGACAGAAAAAATAAAAATACTATTTTAGTGAAACCGGTATATGTTCCAGAAAATGTATGTATGAAATAGAAATAAGATCGTTACAGGTTTGCAGTCGTCCATTTCATATGGGTCTTCGTCTCCATTGAATCCTGCAGACATAGGGCGTGTTTTCTGGAAGTGCTTATCGTCCAAGTAAGCAGCCTAAGCAACAGATTCAAAAGAAGGTTAGTATTCGAGCAGCATACAGTGAAAACCATGCAGCAAATAATAACGGTGAAATTATAAAATATGTCAAGAAACACATCGTATAATGGTAAGAATACGAATAAAGTACCTTGCTAGTTGAGTGAAGAGTGTGGCGTCTCTCCACATCCTCAAAAGCATCATCCTGTACATTAAATCAGAATTATGTTTAATTTAATATGCCGTTAATGCACATTAAATGTAAATAATATCCTACTTTTATATTGTGTTAGCCATAAGTGTACCCTTCAATAGTAATTTACAGATTTCTATTTTCCCTCTTTTAGTATTCTATTTTGAGATGTTTATATTGTGTGATTGTTTATTTTCTATTATTTTTTTATTTCTAATTATGTGCAATACTTTGTTTTACATGCCAAACAAAAACATCTCCAAATTTGGGATTAATAAAGTATTTTAAATATCTTTAATTTACATGTAAAAAATATGTTTCAGCAGTGTTATGCAAGTGGATTTTCTTTAACATCATTATTTTGTATAAATAGCTGTCCTAAGCATGCCTGAACTTAAAAAGCCAAACAAAATGGGCAACTCAAACTGAAAAAATCAGAACCTAAAAAGCAGGAATAAACCATAGCAATAGAAAACGAGTAAATCAAATCGATAATTTTCCCATTAAAGACGTCTGTTTACTTCACCGAACTGTAGGGGGTCGTTACCTGGGATTTATTACGAGGTGTGTAGCCATGTGCTCCGAAAAGTTCATCTTGGGATCGCTCCTGGAAGGAAAAAAAAAAGTTGACACACATTACACTGCTGGAGATGACCATAGTTAAATACAAAGCATAAGCAACACACACATCCTTTACAGAGACTTGATATGTTTAAATATGTGCAGTTGTACCTTTGAGTCTCTGCGAGGTGTGTATCCGTGAGCTCCCTTCTGTTTATGGAAAAGTTAACAAGTTAAAGTGAATGTATCAGTGTATAAAAAAATACGTACGGTACATGATACGAGCGATACCTTTTCCACGGTGATTGCAAATCCTCTGTGAGGCACAAACTTAATTTTCATCTTCTTCTTCTTTTTCTTCTACAGAGAGAAAATAATGGTTTGCCAAAATCAATGCATGCCAGAGAATTCAGTGCTTAAATGTCTCAATATCTAAAGTTGTGTTGTTATAAGTATTCGAACGTCCATGGCTGTCAACCTCTTTGTGCTGGGCTCCCAATTCCTCCTCCTCATCTTCTTCCTCCTCCTCCTCTTCTTCCTCCTCTTCGTCCTCCTCCTCCCAAGTGACATCATCCAAAGCTGTCCCCTGTTATGATTGAACACAGCATCAAAAACTGTTTAGCGATTTCTCCAAAACTGTTTACTAAGAAAATCACTTGCTGACAAAGCGTTAACTAAAAAGGATATTAATGTGCGTTCTGAGTTTTGTCTATAAAATTCAAACGTTTACTACTCGTCAAAAATAAGAACAGAGATGAAGAGAATGGATATTTGTTTAATGTGCATGCTGCAAATATCTGTAAAATGTTTAATATTTCTAACTTCTCGATATCAGTGGGATTGTATATTAAATCTTACAGTATGTGATGTATTTGTCATTTTCATTTATTTCTATTAATAAAAAGCCGTTCAATTTTTCAATCCATTCAATCTAGCATTCTTTCCCTTTTTGTTATTTCCTTATTTACTTTCATTAAGTGTAAAGTATGTTGTGCTACATTTCTCTATATTGGGTTGTTACTACTACTTTGTGCATTTTTCATCAATTCCATATAAAAAAAAAAAAATCAAAAGGTCGTTTTTTTTCCTTCTTGCATCTTGTCTGAAGCAGAAAATGTAGAAAATAACCAGTTTTAAAAAACAGTTGTCAGACTGCAGGTACGTTACCTCTGACCAGCGGCGTACAGTCGACTCTTTCTTGCTGACCCTTTGCCTTCTGATCTCTTCTGCCTGTTGTGGAATCACAAAGAAAAAGACATCAGAATTGCTGAATGGATCAAATAAGTCACATGTAAGAAAGCTTTTCACACTACAGGGTGGCTGGAATGGACGTAACTCGCATGGCAAGTACAGAAAAAAGAAACAAAATAACGTCTCCGATATCTCACCTTCAGGTCTTGTCCGTTCATTTGCTTTCCATCCAGCACGGAGGAATTAGCGGACGCTCTTCTAAGCAGCTTATTGACTTTGGTCTTCACATTTTCCTTCTGATGACAAAATAATACATTGTTAAAGCATCACTGGTTTATCACCACGACTGAGACAAACAGAAATACTGTACAGAAACAAAAGAGCATACTTTGTAGTCCACCCCATATTGCTCACTATCTTCATTCTCTTCTGTAGACGTGTTTGTTTCTGATAAATACTCCTGAAAAACAGAATAATTGCATTTAAACTGAGCGGTTATAAAGACATAGGAGTGTTTACAGCGTTAATATTGCCATGTGTTATCTAGATCAGTGGTTCCCAACCTGGGGGGCGCGCCCCAGAAAAGTCCTTGGGGGCGCCAGGCCTCATATGATTTGAGGCCAAATATCATATTTAGACTTTTTTTTTTACATATAATTGTAAGGCAATACATGATTGTCAATAAAAGACTTGTAGTTACAATACAATAAAATATAAAAAATAATTGATTAATTAATTTTAATACAAATTAGTTAG